AAGATGTGCACGACGTCGGAGTGCCGACTTACCAGACAAGTTCTTGCAGACTAAGAGAACATTTCCGCAAAAGATTTCGTGAGATATTTAGTATCCTAGGCAAAAACCATCTAAACGCTACTCGACAACAAAATGACTTGGTGTTGTCGGCAGCGAAACAAGAAGAATAGATTGGCCAATAGGTCGCGTTGTAGAAACATATCCTGGAAAGACAACGAAGTACGTGTTGTCAAAGTGAAAACTGCAAACGGGTGAACTCCTAAGACCGTGAAACGTATTTATCCTCTCGAACTTGATAGACCTAACTTGTTTAGTGACTTCACCATGAACATAAAAACTCTGCGGATAAGTGTTACAGTGATTGAACTATCAACTAGATATGGACGTAAAACTGTACAACTCTTAACATATTTTTAAATTGCTATCTAATTTTTTCTTTTCTATTCTTTAATTGTCCTACAGTTGTCAATTGGAACATGTTATCGGAATATGGTTTGAATGTATGTAGAAAATGTTTATGTGTAATCCTTCTTTGTAAGTATTAATTTAGAGCTTAGTTCTTTCATATTTGTGAAAGTTGTACTTGAATTTTGTTTTGATTATTGATAATTTTGTTTTTTCCCATTTTTCGGGTAATCAAATGGGAGGATGTCATTCTTGCCACTAGGTGGCGGGCATCTTCCTTTATTTTGCTGTAATTAAGTTCCGAGAAGCAGTCGAGATTGGAACCGCTTTGAGGAGCGTAAAGACTCAGAGTAAAAAGTACTGTCTTAAAATAATTATCACTTCCCTTGTAAAGTGTATATTAGGTTTTTTTGAATAATAATTAAAAGACAAGATGGCCTGCTAATTGTAATAGAAATCTTATGGAAAACGTGATTATTAGAAAGCCTGGCGTCGAGAACACTGAAGATGCAGCAGGTAAGGAATTTTACATTAATTTTATTGTAAATAGAAGAACCTGATGCAACACCGTACAATCTTCTTTATTTATTTCCCATCCCCTTCTAAATAAGCCCTTTTTTGATTTTTATACTATTCAATATTATTAATGCTATTATTCAGGCTTTTAATTTATATTACGCTTTGGGATTATATTCCACATTATTCCTATTAAATACTTTCCTTTGGAATCTAATTTTATTTCTGTTCGTATTTCGCATCAAAACTTATACTAACTATTGTTCTTGAAAAAAAGAACAATATTTAATTATTTTTCCGAATAGGAGACAGAGGTTTGATTTTCCATTTCTTCACGTAATGCTACACGCCCACATTTTACTCATACTTTAATTCCTTGATGTCACATAATAAATTAATAAATACTAAAAACATTTACATTACTAGTGTACATTGTCCAAATTTGAACTGAAGTGTTATAATACTTTTTGGGAGATCTTCGATATTCTCTTACTTCTAATTCAATGTATGTAAAATAATGTATTTTTCTTAAAGCAGAAATTATAATGAGGAATTTTCATTGTCACACCCATCCCAGTTGTTAGAAAATTAACTCAACTACATTAATTACCCTCATTTATCATCACTGTACAATTATTCTAAGTTTTTTTTATATATATGGAATGCTGAAAATTTTAAGTTTTCTAAAACACTAAATGTGCCTTGATTTTAAGAGACGCGATCACAAAAATGTATGTAATTCCGCTGCTAGGTTAGAATTTATACAAATGAGATCGCCACGTCTTATTCTATTCTATTATAAATGAAAAATATCCCAGAATGTGCATTCATATTTTATACTTATTAAAATCTATGCTTTAGTTCTGGTTCGAATGAAATTTTTCAAAACATCATTTCCCGTACATCAGATACTTACATTTTCTTTTGGACACTACTTTCTGTGAACTTTCTCTAACATAATTTCTGCAGAATTATTCCCGGTTCACAAGTTATGTATCTGATGGTTGAAATAAAACATATGGCATAAAGCTTTTGAGAAAAAAATCCTAATAAAATATTTCCTCTAAAATATTCAATGTTTGAATCAACATACTAATTGTAAGAGAAACGAGCACTAACATTCTACAGTGCAGCCTATAAAGTAAAACTAACATCTGAATACCTCTTCTTTAAATTCAAAATAATACAGCTAAATATTGAGTAAACTATTATTTAGAGCGGTTATTGATGAAATTTTGCCCTACACCGACATAAGGCGTATTTTAAATTATGTGTCTTGTTAAAAGATGGTTTTTCTCCCACTCTTTTCCGTTATATTTACCGCTGGACTATAGCATTATAAGAATACTATAACAGAAAACATTTAATGATTACCTCTGTGTGATCGTAAACGATTATTTTGATTGCCAATCAAAAGTAAAACATTTGAAGTTATGATGCCTAGCAAAAGTAAAGCATTTATCTCACATTGAGAACTAAAATATAGAAAATTTATGTTAGAAATGCACAATAATAAAAAATACACATTCAAATTTAATCTGTATATAAGAATCTGAAACAGAGAAGCGTAAGTTTCATTTCAGATAAGCTTTATTCAGATATTTCCTTATACGTGCGAGATTAGAAAACAGAAATTATGCCAGAGCAACATGCATGTTTTGCATGTTCTTGTGAATTTCAGAAATTAGTCCTGTGCCATGATGGAAACAAAAGATAAACGCTAATATTTCGATGAAATATAAAATAATAATTACTATTGGAAAATCAAAGCGAAAAATCAAAATATTTTTATCACAAAATATTCATAATATTTCGCTTCCACCATAGACATAAATTTCCAAGAAAGTACACACGGAGGACTGTTTAGTTTCAGGTACTAGAATAAGACTATTTGTAAGATGTGTAGAAATCGTAAAGGCTTAAAGTAAGTGTCCTCGCAAAATATACGAACCCGAGATGTATGCATTTCTATTTCTTCTGCGTCGGTATCAGATAAATTCTACATTTCTACATAATTTTTACTGTCTCGTTTCTAGTTTTCCTTAATATATAAGTTAAATTTTAATATTTTATTAACAATTTTATAACTTGTGCCACTATTTTATCTTTGTCAAATAACATTTTACTAAGATTAATTCTAAATTTACATTTTCTTTTTGCGCAAAGCATTTTATTTAAACGCAACTGTTTTTACTGATTTCTCTCAAAATTTGTTAATTTACATATTTTCTCAGTAAACGTCGAGAGGAAAACTAGTCCGCATTTCAGTTTTTCTACGTCTTGGGAAAACGCTTTACAGATAGATTCATTCTTTGGATTTTTACTATGATTAAAATTTATGAGCGATTAGAAATTTCTGCGTAATGTTTACGAAATAAAGTTAGAGAATACTCCCACTAGCCCACTTTTTTGAATGACACTTTTACGGTGTTGGGATTTATGATATTTGCGCTGCATGCCTGCATCGCATTTGTGCCTGGAAAAGGAGGTATTCGAAAGCAGTGTAAGTCTCTTCTATTCAAGATTTGAATTCTTTTTTCTCTTCCTGATTACTGTCAAAGAAAGCTCAAAAATTATATGGCTATCACATAATCATACCATTTGTTGGGCAAAGAAAAGGAATCAGTCATACGTAAAAGGTGGTGTGGTGTATTTAACTATGGCAAAGCACACTAGGGCTAACAGCCTAAGGAGAGGGAGGCCTTCGTGGAGGACTTTCTAAGGGAAACTGGCTCGTATACACGTTACACATGGGGAAAACCATGAAAACACCCATACAGCCAGCCCGTTCGCGGGATTCGAACCTCGGACCGAACTACCAGTGTTCAGCGATTTTACCGCTCGGCCGCTGGTGGGCTCCATACGTAAAAGGAATCGAACAAAAATAAAGGTAAAATTTACTCAAAAAATGTACTCAGAATGGTTGTTCAAAACTCAAAAAGTTTTGGACAACCATTCTGATTTTTAGCTGCTTAAAAATAGCACCCTAACAAAGAAGTAACTTTAAATGGGCTATAATAGTACATTCTGCTGGAATTCCTACCAGTACTTCTTCCATTCTTAAGGAAAAAGGGAAGTTAAACATCTTCTTTCCAATACACTACTGATAATAGAAAGCACGAAAATGTACTACACTCAAGAATGTAGATATAAAATTCCAGATTTAACGTACGACAATTCTGTTTAATATAGTTGAATCATTTTTTAGAATTCCGCTAGAAATTTATTAGTAGCTTTAGGAGATTCTCTGAAGTAAAGATATTCAGTGATGAAAATATCCTATATGACAGCGTTTCGATCATATTATTCATTAAACTATTTATAGAATGCTTCATGAACTTTCATAATCTTTAACATATTTATTGTACAGCCAATCTGTTAACTTATTTTAAATAATTTATTTTGAAGTTCGTATATTTCTCTATATTTTGTATATAAATTAAAAAGTGTTATTATAGTAAAGTAATATACAGTAGCAGAGGAATTCAGTACGTTTCTAGCAAAAAAATTTTATTGGGTATTTCTTGAATAAGGTTTCTTTAATTGACTGCAGTTTTTCTTATCCTTTGCAATCTGAAACGATTTAATTTAATTCTTCCTACATCTCGTGTTAGTGATTATTGAGAAAATATACATTTGAATGTGCCTAAATTCTTTCTGATACAGTGAGTTAGGAGTGCAAAGATTAAATTTGTTACAACTAATAAATTTACTGCCTAGTGGATTTGGAAATTTTGCTGCTGCATAAAGTATGCGAAAAGTCTTCTCAGCCTGAGCAATTTTAATACTTTTTTTTTTTTTTTTTAAATAGGAAACTTTTTATCATCTTTCCCTTTCATGCTTGAACGTTCAAATTTATGAGAATATCGAATTTTTATAAAATTAGCCTTTTTAAGACATATCTTTCCTAACCTGATTTGCATATAAACTTGTTAAATAATAAAATTTAATTGATATTTTCGATTTACCTATTAATTTTATTGTATATTTAAACTAAGTTTATATGTACTTTCTTGTTCTCTCTCCTCTCTATGTAATAGATGAATTATTAAAACTGAAATAGCACACGTCTAATTTACCTTGCCTCCAACTGTCCGAGCGCGAAGAAAAATTTTCGCTGGAGATGCTAGTTGCATGTTTGTTCCTTTTTTCCATGTTTCTCTGTATTTGAGCTATGGCGTAAGTAAACCCATCCTGCTGATTTTGCTCCGAATTCTTTCTTCTGCACAAAAAGTATTTGATAGCCCACTCCTTCCAACCAGTACGTGATCTTTTCTTGCTCTTCCACGGCGTTTTGCTACAATGACAAACATCCGTAGACGGGTTGCGGCATCGCTGTGGATCGCCGTCACTTCCTTGTCCAGCAGCAGCGGCAGCTGAATTCGTAGTAACAGGAGTCTGTCTGTTCGAAAAATTGGAACTATGTCTACCTCTGCCTATCCCTCTAGTTACACGGGATTCTTCGATTCTCTTACAAATATGAATGCAGTCTTTTTTGAACTGTTTGGTAAATATGGCGTAAAGGAAGGGGTTGGCGCAGCTGTTTAGCGGCAATACAAAGATGGCGAAAACCTTTGCTTCCTGTAGTGAGAGAGGAATAAAAGAAAACAATGTGAGAATATAGTACATTAAGAAAATTGTATATTTAAAAAGTCTAGGGTACCAAGATAATCAATAAGCATAAAAAGGATATGTAAAACACTGAACCAGTATCTAATGACCCAACTGAAAAAAAATGAAATAAATGATTGAAATATTAATTAAACGAATAAACTGTTTACTTCACATATGCTGCCGAAAATTAAGGGATTGCAACATGGTTTGTCTGATATAAAAAGGAAAATTTATAGTTCGGATAATGGCAGGACTTAGAAGGGCTAGCTCATAGAGCTTTTCCCCCTGAAGCAGAAAGTGAGAAGTGATGACGTAGTCATGATGACACTGAGCGCGCAGATGCAATTCACAGCTTGAAAATTAGCGATTTTGAACCAGCGTTTGAAATTAGCTGTGTGTGAAAGATAGCTATAATTTGGAAGAGACAATATTACTGCTTTATGAATTTTAGACTGAACCATTAAAAAATTTAATAATACTTACTCAATTTTAAAATAATAGATAAAATGTGCTACTCTTTTAACATAAAGTTCCGTGGGTTTTTTTCAATTTTTATTTGCAGGTTTTTTATTTAATGAACGTTTATTTCTAATCATTTCTTTATCTGCATGTGAACTGAGAGAATTTTTATACTGCTTCTAAGATAACTATAATAGCAGCTATTTAAATTTACTCAAAAAACAATTTTACATTGACATAGTTTTAAACATATATGACTGTCGCGTTTGCTTACTAGAAACTTTAGCTTCCACGAACGCCCTTCTGGCAGAAGAGACTAAAAGTAGTCAGTTGAACGGCTGACGCGGTCTAACAGATGTATAAACTATAGACCGTCTCCGTATATATTAGGACCATTAATGCTTGTAATTGATTATAACTTGTAAATATTTTGTAGAATATCTTTCATACGAATTAAATTTTCTTAAAAAGTTTATAGCTGTGTTTCGAAGTGAATCGAAGTTCATCATAGAGACGGATACCTACAAGAAGGAAAAGCAGGCAGTTCAGGGCAGCCCTATTTAGAAGGTAAGTGAACTTTCACTTATCTATTTAATGATCAAAAAATTTTAATAGTACAAAGTTGATAAAATTTTTTAACATGGCGCCCGAACAACAGGGACTGCCAGTAACTGCGGTTTTCCTAACTATTGAAACTGTCTAAATTGATATCAGTTATATAGACAATACATAAGCATAAATAATTAGTGAATTGCTGATAGTTGTTGAATTGTTGAATATTAAATAATGACGGAATTCATCGATACATTGAAAAGGAAACGCGGCCACATAAGGGCTGCCGTTACAAAATTAATTGGCCGAATCGAAACTGAATTACCAAAAACAGAAGTGAATGCAGAGGAACTAGAAATTTCCGTAGAAACTGAACTTAAATGAAAAAATCGAACGAGTTTAAAACAAATAGATGCCGATATATAGAAAATTAATAGACATAAATTATCTTGACCACGAATTAAACGGTGTTGACGAATATCGTGAAAGAATAACTACATTTAAATACAAAGCTAACAAAAAATTGAAAGAAATTAATATAGAACAACAAAAATTTAATGTGTTACGAAGCACTGAACAGTTAAGTGAAAGTATTATAGAAAACGTTAAAATCGAAAGTCATAATGTGAGCTTCCTAAACTTACGATTTCCGAAGTTTTATGGCGAGAGCTGCGAATGGCTGACATTTTGGAACACTTTTTCATCAGCCATACACCAAAATAAAACGCTTGACGCTATAAGCAAATTTAATTATTTGAAATCCTTTTTGGGAGGCACTGCTTATAAACACCATTGACGGTTTCGATTTAACCGAAGAAATTACGAAACTTCAGTTAAAACTCCTCACAGAAAGATTTGGAAATAAAGATGTACTGATCAACGCCCATATAGATAAATTACTGAAAATAAGACCTCTAAAGGATTCTAATGACATTCAAAATTTCCGTAAGTTATTCAATTATATACAGAAACATATTCGATGTCTTGAATCATTAAATATGACCTCAGAAACATATGGAGCCTTTATTAACACCTATTTTGCTTAAAACATTGCCCGCAGATTTGGTTTTGGAGTAAGTATAATAAAACAGTTCGGAAATCAAATTACGATTTGAATCACCTAGTGGAATTTCTTTCTGAACAGTTAGTTGCGCGGGAAACGTACATTCCAGACGGTCCAGCCAAAGGCGGCGCCGCAAAAGCATAACAAACTGAGTGAACCCAGACCTATTGCGAAACACACAGCTTCGGAGTTAACGAACGCAAGTTTGCGGGGGGGACAAACACCATGTGTTTTCTGCGACTCTTCTGATCACGAGTCTATAACGTGTAAACAAGCATCTTTATGGTCTACTGAGAAAAAAAGGGAGAAATGCAAAGCGAAAGGGATCTGTTATCGCTGTTTACGCCCACGGCATCTTAGTTTTATTTGCACTTCTAGAATAAGGTGTGAATTATGTAAACAACGACATGCCACTATAATGTGTTTTAAAAACCGAAACGGAGAAAATTAAGGAAGAACAAATTGAAAATAAGGCCTTAACGAATAATTCATCCTATGAAAGCGTAATCTTGCAACTTTAATTGTCAATGTTTACGGAGATGGTGAAAGCAATTTTATACGAATAATTCTGGATACCGGAAGTAGCAGATCATATATCAGCACATTTCTTGCGGAGAAATTAAAACTAAAATCTTTAGGTCAGGAAAGTGTGTGACTCATGGGCTTTTTGGAGGAATAGAAAAAAGGGAAAATCACAACAAGTATCTGATTAAGTTAAATAATCTAGAAACAGGATTCACATGCGAAATGGAAGTTTTGAGCCAAAAAAACCATATGCTCACATATTCCAAAATTGGAGGATAGGGAATGCTTAAAGAAACTAAGAGGTTACAAAATTTTTCCCCGTGAGTGATGTAACTAATGAGAATTCTTGTTTATTTGAAAACCACCCTAACGAAATACACATGCTTGTAGGAGCAGATTATGCCGGAAAACTCTTTACAGGGGAAAAACAAAACACGTAACGGAGAGTTTAGTAGCGATGAATACACACCTTGGTTGGACTATATTAGGGAGAACGAAGGTAAAGGGAAAGAATTTTAATGAAATTCTTTTATCACACTACACATTAGTGACAGAAAAATTTGTGACTTGTGGTCTCTTGATTCTATCAGAAGAATAACTGAACCAGCTCTTTCTCAAACAAAACAAGAAATAGAAAGGCTACAGAAAATTATTTTATCCGTACTTTAGAAAGAGATGAACGCTGGAAGGTATCAGGTATCACATGCCATGGCTTCAAATTCATCCTGAGTTGCCAGATAATAGAATCCTTGCAGAAAAGCGTTCTGAAGTCTTGCGTGAGAACCCTTTCAGACTACGAACTACGAATTCCTTAGAAGCCTACGAAACTGTTTTAAAGGATTGGGTAGAAGAGGGGACTAGAAGAAGGAACCTAATTGATACCTGTCGGAGGCATTTTGGAAAGATCAGAAGGGCATTATCAAAGGCCACATAGAAATCGTGTTTCTGCCACACAGAGCAGTGTCGACTACCAAAATTCGACCAGTGTTCGAAAGCATCTGCAAAAGGAGAAAAATTCGGTATCTCTGAACGACTGTCCTGGAAAAGGGTTCCTAATTATCTTGAATTGAATCCCAAAAATTTTGATAAAATTTCGAGAGGGGAAGTATGGAGTAATTTCGGATATAAAAAGAGCATTTCTTCAGATAGGTGTGAACCCAGCGGATCGAGATTTTCTCCGCTTCCTATGGTGGGAGAAAGGACAGCCTGAAAAACTGACTATATATCGGCACCGAAGGGTTGTATTCGGCGTAAACGCCAGCCCCTTTTTACTCGCTGCCACGATTAACTACCATTTGGAAAATGTACCAAAACATCATCAGGAAATAGCTTCAAAGCTAAAGAAAGCCATGTATGTGGATAACTGCGTAGCGAGTGTGGAATCAATTGAAGAATTAACTCATTTATCAAAGGATCTAGAGAAATAATGGCTACTGCAAAATTTGACCTAAGAGGTTGGAAACATAATAGACTTAAAAATGAAAACTTCAATTCTAAACCTTTCTGATAAAGATTATGAAGATGTTGTGTCAGTATATTGGGATTGAAATGGGACTTGTTTGACGATACTTTGTCTTGTCACGTAAAATATGAAGAAAACCCTGTATTGAGCAAAAGATCTGTTCTTTCCGAATTGAGTAAAATCTTTGACCCAATTGGGTTTACTAGTCCAGTTACTCTCATGCCTAAACTGATTCTGCAAGAGTGCTGGAAACAGAAAATTAACTGGGATACTAATCTGCCGGAATGATCTAGCAAAGGAAATTTTTCACATTGTCATCTCAGTTAAAATATTTGTAAAGACATCAAAATTCCTAGACTTGCTTACCAAAATAGACGAAAGTACCACTCTGCATGTATTTTCAGACGCAAGCAAGGATGCATATGTGACCTTGCATTTTCCTTAGACACTGCGGTGAGAGTGGAGTCGCCTTATCAATTGATACAATCTAAAGTGAGAGTTGCTCCCCTATACCCTATTGCTCCCCCTATTGCTCCCCATACCTCGACTAGAGATACTTGTTTGCACTATTGGAGCCAGGCTCTCTCATACGAATAAGAGAAGACTTGAAACTTAAAGAGGTTTCCAGTTTTTTACTAGACAAATTCCACAAATGCCCTCTTTTGGATAAAACAGAAAGAAAATTGGTACACTTTTGTAGCCAATCGAGTGAATGAGATTTCGAAAAATTGAAGTAACTCCAGATCATTGGCATCACATTCCCGGAAAGTTCAATCCTTCGGATTTGCCATCTCGTGGTTGCTCTTGCTAAAAGAATTGAGGAAATCCGAATGGTGGAAAGGACCAGATTGGATTTATCGACTCCAGAAGAGTGGCCTATTGCAGATGGAGAACATCCTGACTCGA